AAACAATGGGACATTTTTATAACAAGCAACAACTGGACAAAACAGCGCAAAAACCTAATGCTCGAAACTAGTTGTTCTCGATTTACCCATACAGATTACTGCTCATTGTTCTGTATCCTGTGCAAGTATTCTCCACTGCTGCTAATGCTGAACAAACAGACTGTAATAAAATCTCCTGTGTTTCATAAGCAGTCCACTGCCAAAGCAACAGACCACATGCTAGCTTCATGCTTAGTGCCCTGAAGCACGCGCACTGAAGTAGCTGCTCAAAATATTAAGAAAAAAGGCATTTTCTCATAGTGCAGCCTCAAGCAGTGCATATATAGAACAATTTGTCATAAAACAAACGATCATTTTGGCCCCCGTTTGTTACATTTTCATTCTTCCTACACTCTTCAGCAGCATACTTGCAAAAGATTTGATAAAAAGTGGCCACATGAAAAAAAGACAGGAAATTTCGTTGATTTTTATCCTAAAGGCGCTCCAAAATTTTCAGCTGTTGCTAATTTTCGAGATGAATTCCGGTTCCACGCTAAGTGTATCCATAATCCTGAAATATTATTTGGTGGTTATGAATTTGAAAATCCACAAAGAAATAAGTGAATTTGAAAATCCACAGAGAAGACGCTTAATTCAGAAATTAGTTGGCTAAATTTAAACGTATTGCAACAATTTTTTTTATTGAGTCTAAAAATAACAATATCAAATTACTTTCACTTTATTGAAAATTTTATAATTAATAAAAAAAAGAATCGGACCTCTGCCTTCCCCAAAGACGAACATACATGGATGCTCCTGAAACAGCAGCCAATCCACAAACAGTGCGCAGTATCATTCCTCGGCAGGCATTTATGCCAACTTTCCATCGGAACAGATAATTCAGCCAATTTTTCGTCTTTCTAATTTTTGGTATTGCATTTTGGTCGCCTTGTAATATCGCCTTAAAAGAAAATGTTTTGCAACAACTTACTGAGACAAAAAGGAATGGAAAAGCTAGCGCTTTTTTTGCATTTAGAAAGCTGCAGTGACCAGTAAAGAGGAAGAAAATTGGAAAAGGTGTCCTGGAATTAATCCAAAAAATCCAAAAATTCAAAAAAAATTAATCCAAGAAAACTCAAAAATTCAAAAATTAATCCAAAAAAACATTTAACGTAAATCAAAATGCTAAACCACGTTAAAGAAAGGAGGAATGATGAATTTCAACGAATTTCAAATGCTCGAATTTCAATGCTTTCAAACGCTTGAATTTCAAATGCTGAACTACGTTAAAGAAAGGAGGAATGAATTTCAACGTTTGCAATTTCAAATTTGGATGGTGTCGGAACGTAAGACCTAGGCGCACGCGAAAGCTGAATTCACACTTCCAAGATCAAACCTTGACGGGAAACATCCTCTTAAAACTTCAGCTCTGATCTTATCTGGCTCACAGGCTAGGAAATTCCCCGCTAAAACTTTCATACGTTTGGACATGAAACACTGG